TCCTCTCCTCTCCTCTCCTCTCCTCTCCTCTCCTCTCCTCTCCTCTCCTCTCCTCTCCTCTCCTCTCCTCTCCTCTCCTCTCCTCTCCTCTCCTCTCCTCTCCTCTCCTCTCCTCTCCTCTCCTCTCCTCTCCTCTCCTCTCCTCTCCTCTCCCTCTCCCTCTCCCTCTCCCTCTCCCTCTCCCTCTCCCTCTCCCTTTCCTAAGATTTCCTTTTCTGGCACGAATTTTCATTAATTGACAAAACGTCCCCAGCCTTCAGCAGACCACTTAATTAAGAGCAAATTGCTAGAAAACAGCAGTATCTTTGGGCATGAGATAAGGTCTTTTCCAGCTGGCTCCCTGCTTGGAATTCCATTCTAGAGTGAGATCTGGAGAATGCTAATTTTGAGAAAATAAAGCATTTTTATTTCTTGAGATTAAACGTTTTGGTTGTGTCAATGAAACAATTTCTGTACCAGCAACAGCTGAAATGAAAGCAATTGTCAGTAAATACATTTTCTTTGCTGACAGTCATTTCATTGCTTAATGCTCCTTAGTATTTCACAAAGATTTCAGAGCACTTTTCAGTATTTCAGTATTTTAGAAGCACAGAATACATAATTGTACAAGCAGTCATTGCTTTCTTAGATGCACTTGTTTCAGCATGCCACATATCACTGCCACAAGCTCTTAACTGTATACAGTTCTGTTTCCCTTAAAAGTTATACATTTTCTCTGACTCTTCTAAATTTTTCTGCTTTGCTTCAAACAAACGTTTTACTATTGCACACTCAAGCAGAGGCAAAAGGCATAATTACAAGCACATCTATGTAAAAGTAAGCAAGTTAAGCAAGTGTATAAACTGGAATTCAGAAACCCTAGAAACAATCCTTGGCACTGCAATTAGCAGCTGGCTGATTAGAATAGTTTGCCACAGGGTTTAGTGCTGAAAATATCATCTACTGTGATTCCTGACTCAGCTGATTCTAGGAGCTGGTGCTTTGCTGTGAACTAGTACTCAGTTTTTTGCATGAATAGGACAGGATCATAGTCAAACATATTGGCAGGTCATCCATTCTGCTGCAGCCAGTGAGGTGCCCTGGTTCACACTGCAGCAATCAGGCTGGATGTGGCTCTGGGCAGCCTGGCCTGGTGGCTGGCGACCCTGCGCATAGCAGGGGGTTGAAGTAGATGAGCATTGTGGTCCTTTTGAACCCAGGGCATTCTATGATTCTATGAACCTCTTACTGTTGATATTCATTATAGTTTTCTGCCTCATGTTCAGGGTAGATGGTTTGCTGAATTATCCTTCTCTTCCCAGGATCAGAGAATTACCAAGAAATTTCTATGCAGAATGATTTTAGAGATCTAGGTTTGCAACTACAAGCAAGTGAAAGCAAATATATACCTCCAGCTTGTGACTCTCTTTTGGAGCCACAGAGTTTGAATCACGAATGGTTTATATCATTCTAACTGAAAAACACAACTTTTTATAGACTAGCCTTCCCTCTCAGGTCTCTTCTCTAGCCCCACTGTAGCCCAGCTTCAATTTGCCATTATTTTCAGAGACATTAGAAAAAAGTAATAGCTGTGTCTGAAAAGGTATTCTGCATCAAATGCATTTTTCCTGTTACTTTCTTTCATGAGAGTTCAGCCTCTCATCCAAAGCCTATGGAAGGGACACAGTGACTTCAGGCTGTATGGTCTCTGTTAGGATTACAGATGTGCATTGCTCTGCTGAGGCTGTAAATCACACTCCCCCTGGCGTTAATGCTGTCAGTCCCTCTGTGCATATATTGCTGAATCACAGAATCACAGAATCACACAGAATCACAGAATCACCCGGGTTGGAAGGGACCTCAAGGATCATGTAGTTCCAACCCCCCTGCCTAGCAGGGCCACCAAACATACACATTCAGATCAGGTTGCCCAGGACCCCGTCCAGCCTGGCCTTGAACACGTCCAAGGATGGGGCATCCACAACCTCCCTGGGCAGCCCGTTCCAGGGCCTAACCACTCTCCTTGTAAAGAACTTCCCCCTAACATCCAACCTAAATCTTCCCTCCTTCAACTTGGATCCATTTCCCCTAGTCCTGCTGTTGTCAGCCCTTTTGAAGAGTTTACTCCCCTCCTGGGTGTAGGTTCCCTTCAGGTATTGATAGGCTGCAATGAGGTCACCCCGCAGCCTTCTCTTCTCCAGGCTGAACAAGCCCAACTCCCTCAGCCTGTCCTCATAGGGGAGGTGCTCCAGCCCCCTGATCATCTTAGTCGCCCTCCTCTGGACCCTTTCCAAAATCTCAATGTCTTTCTTGTACTGAGGGCTTCACACCTGGACACAGTACTCCAGATGGGGCCTCACAAGAGCCGAGAAGAGAGGGACAATCACCTCCCTGTCCCTGCTGACCACCCCTCTCCTGATGGAGCCCAGGATCCCATTTGCCTTTCGAGCTGCCAGAGCGCACTGCTGGCTCATGTTCAGTCTCTCGTCCATCAGGACCCCCAGGTCCTTCTCTGCCGAGCTGCTCTCAAGGACCACTCCTCCCAGCCTGTACAAGTGCCTGGGGTTCCTCCGGCCCAAATGCAAAACCTTGCACTTTGCCGTGTTGAACCTCATTAGGCTCACCCGAGCCCAGCCCTCCAGCCTGTCGAGGTCCCTCTGAATGGCATCCCTTCCTTCCACCGTATCAACCGCACCGCTCAGCTTGGTGTCGTCAGCAAACTTGCTGAGGGTGCACTCAATTCCCTCATTGATGTCATTAATAAAGATGTTGAAGAGCACCGGTCCCAAGACAGACCCTTGGGGGACACCACTTGTTACCGGCCTCCACCTGGACATAGAGCCATTGACCACCACCCTCTGTCTGCGGCCTTTCAACCAATTGCTCATCCATCGGGTCGTCCACCCATCAAATCCACTTCCCTCCAATTTGGAGATGAGGATGTGGTGGGGGACCATGTCAAAGGCCTTGCTCAGGTCCAGGTAAATGACATCGGTCGCCTTCCCTTCGTCCACCAATGCCGTCACTCCATCATAGAAGGCCACAAGATTAGTTAGGCATGACCTTCCTTTGGTGAAGCCGTGCTGGCTGTCTCGGATCACATGCTCATTCTTTATGTGACCGAGCATGTTGTCCAGGAGGATCTGTTCCATGATCTTCCCAGGCACGGAGGTGAGACTCACCGGCCTGTAGTTCCCCGGGTCCTCCCTGCTCCCCTTCTTGTATATGGGAGTGACGTGACCCTTCCTCCAGTCATCCGGGACCTCACCTGACAGCCACGACTTCTCAAACATGATGGAGAGCGGCTCGGCAACCACCTCAGCCAGCTCTTTCAGGACCCTGGGATGCACGCCATCTGGCCCCATAGACTTGTATTAAACTTCTGCAAAGATGTCAAGGAAGCAGAAATGGACCATAAGGGAGAAGCTGTTGTGTTCTTGAGACTGTGTGGTCCGAAGCTTCTGCTTCAGAAGATAAGTAGCCCTTTATTCTGTTTCAATTGTGTTTAGAGTAGGCAGTGCAGTTGTTCTAAGGACTACAGACACGTCAAACAAGCAACCAGTTATTTTAAACTATTTGTTTCTCTCTTTTTAGCTTTTAGTTAAGAAAAAGAGAAAGCTTCAGTTTCAACTTGGGACAGCAAATATGTTTTCTCTTTATTTTTCCTCTTCACTGGTTATATCCATTTTCTTGTGGTTTGGGACAGTGGCAGCACAAGCACTGAAAATGCACTGCTACATGTGGGAGACTAGCAGTTTTATTTCTGCAGGATTCAAAATCCACATGTATGGAGGTCGGGTGAGAACCGTGCATAGGCTGCCCTTCTTTTGGTGGTGTCTCTAGCCTGCCAAGCACAACCCAGGGATGGAATTTCCAATGGAGAGTTCAAAAGGGAATTTTTTGGATGCTTCTAAACAGGGAATAATGTTCTTATACATAGTATAAGAATGCTAAATAGCACAAGTAGCATGTTTTTATACTACAGATAATCTTGAAATAGACTTTTGAATTTGGTATGAGCGTAAGACCTCATCTTTTGTTTCAAGAACCTCCCTGAGGTAAATACAGTGAGAACTGAGATTAATTGTAGTACTGAGAAATGATCCTTTCATGGATGATGCTATCATAGGCAATGATAAGCTGATAGTTGTAGAAACTATGCTTAATATTACAGACCTATAAATGTACTGCGCGCATCTATGTGTATACATAGAGAGAATAGAATAGAATCATAGACTCGCAGAATCACCAAGGTTGGAAAAGACCTCCAAGATCATCGAGTCCAACCATCCACCTACCACCAATACTGCCCACCAAACCATGTCCCTTTGTACCACACCAATGCATTTCTTGAACACCTCCAGGGATGGTGACTCTACCACCTCCCTGGGCAGCCCATTCCAGCATCTGAGCACTCTTTCAGAAGATAAGCACCCCCATTTTTTCCTATTTTTTACCTATTTTTTAAAATAATTTTTTCCTAATATCCAATCTGAACCCCCCCCACCCCCCCAACACACACAAATAGTGTGCCTGTATAGCTCTTTTTGCATTATGAAGTAAGTTAATGTGTAGTTTGCTGTCTAAGAAGTCCCTAACTCATTTCCAGAATGTGTTCTGAACTTCACACTGCAGATTTGATGCATGGTGATTTCTGTAACTTTTGGTTTGCTATTTTAGCCATTCCACTGAACAGAAGTATTTAATAAGTGATCTACAACTTCATCTACTTTTCAGTACAAACATTGGAATAGAGCCATCATGAAAAACAGAGCAGTAATTGAGCTTGTTTTTAGTTATTTGTAAGGCTCTCCAGACTGTTGGAATAAAACCAATTATTATGTTAATATCTTACATGAGTCTTTATAATCACCCTGTACATATAAATAAAGCACAATTTATAAATGCAGTGGCTGTAAGCAAATTTATGTGAGAAGGATTCATTGTTGAAAAGATCAGGCAGGGATGCAATTCAGCCTTCCAATTCAAATATTAGATTTAAGACACAAACTAAAACTCACCATTAGTGTCTGATGTGGATGTGGCAGAGCAACAGCATCCAGCAGCTGGTTGGTTTAATTCCATTCAAGGCCAGGTCTTTGTCTCAGCAGATTTTGTCAGATCCTTCCACTGACGTCCGAAATACGAAGGATTCCTCACTGTGATTTCTGGGATATTTCTTGCTGCTGTTGGGACTTCGTAGGAAAAGCTGCCAAAACTGTGTGGTTATCTTCATGCATCTGGGAATAAGACTTGTGGAGATGAAGGTGAATATTTCTGGTTTGATGAGATATCATCATCTAGGTAAGCTTGTAGTTTTTGACTTTCTTTTTTTGTTCCTCAGCAAGTTCATTTTATTCTGTTAGGATTTTGAGTTCTCTGCAAAATAGGAATAGGAGATACAGTTGTCATGCCTAAGTGTAGGCTGGTAATTAACTTCTAAAGGAATTTCACTAAAAGTAAGATTGAACTCTTAATTTGGATCTTAATTGAATCTGAAGGGAAAAAAAGAAATCACTCCAAATGATCACAGTTTTGCATTTACAGCAGTCTTTTAATGAAGCATTACATTGTGATATTGTTGAAATCAAAACATTTGATTTTTTTTTTCATTTTAAAAATGAAAGTAGTTTATTGAGCGTTTGTATAGGTTTAAGAAAGCAATCTTATCAACTCTAAATATATTCTTTGACCTAAAGAATTCTGCTGTTTTCTATTCCGAGTTGAATATTTCAGTTTGAAATCAGCTGAAGTCATTTACCTTTTCATTTTACTGGAAAGAAATAAAAGAAAGTTGTTGATGTTCACAAATAGCTGCTGTGATCTGGCTTGGTTTACCACTGAACCAAAGACTTAAGGAGCATTTGGTCAGCTCCGTTTCTCAATGCTAAATTCTTTTTTCCTATGCAGAAATTTATCCAGCACCTGGCCTAGAAATGTGGATTTCCAGTGCTTTGAAAGCAATTAGACTGTAAAAAAGTGTGTTATTACAGTCTTTCTTTTCAACATTATTCATCCAGTTAGTGATTACTGAGAGTTCCCTAAATCCATCTCTCTCTTTTAGATGTAAAAACTTCTACTCTTCTGACTCATTACTTTACATTTCATGATCTTGAAACAATAATTCCTCATCCTCAAGAGCATGTGGAAACTTAACTTTGTCTAACAAATACCAGTATCTAAACATCAGTATCCACTGATTAGAAAAGTAGTTCTTGGCAGCGCACCCTGAAATTAAGACTGCTCTAAGAAGTAGGATAATCAGATTAGAAACAGAATCAATTTACATTTTGGAATAACTTAATTTGAGTTTTTTTGGTTTTGTTTTTTCCTGGTACCTCTTTGTCTTTTAATCCATTTTTTTAAATGTAACTTTGAAAAATCTGACCCCATTCTAGCTATGTAAGTAACTACCAGTCATTGGACCATCACAGACCCATGGCAATACAATCTAACAGTATTTTCTTACACTGAGACTACAGATGAACCTATATCAGATTTCACTGTGATTATGTACAGGGAAATGAAATGCTCCTTCATCTAATCATATTGTTTCTATGAGCATAAATTTGACTTCATTAGTTTAAACAAAAGAAGCAGATTTTACAAATTAAATAGCTCTACAAAATATTAAATTTGTTTTAGACATTTTCGTTAACTAACTGAAAAACAATAATGCTTAGATGTTATAATAACAGGAAGGCTTTCTGAGGATTCAAACTCCATGAGCAGTGTATTTAGAATGGTTGAAAAGAATTTCAAAGCATCCCTGTTCAGAGTTAAAGGCGACCAGTTTGTCCAGAACAGCAGAATAAGCCCCATCTGACTGAGTAATGATGCTCAGTTCTACCACAATCATTGGACTTCACTGCAATTTGGTTTCTTTTAGTTCTGGACAAGTTGTCAACATCAGTACATGGTGTAAAACTTCCCTAAGGCTCTATGACAACTCTTTGACTCCTACGATTCTTTGAGTCTGTGATATTTATAGGATTCTATAGTGTCTCTAGTATGAATCTTGAAATCTATGACAACTCTATTATGACTCTATGATGATTCTATGACTCTATGTTGACTCTATGACACTTCTGTGATGTCTTTATGATGACACTAAGACTACTCTATGACCACTCAATGACACTGTGATGAGGAATTTGACAAGTCACTGATGTCCCTGTGATGCTACGACTCTATGACTAATCTTTAACCTTATGATGTCTTTCTGATTACTCTGTGAAGACACCTTGATTTTTTTACAACTCTATAATGACTCCAGCAGTCCAGCCTTCAGATCCACATCTCTACAATTCAGAGATAAGGATGTGGTGCAGGACCATGTCAAAGGCCTTGCACAAGGCTAGGTAGATACATCAGTTGCCCTTTTGCCCACCGATGCTGTCACTCCATTGTAGAAGGCCATCAGATGGGTCAGGTGCCATCTGCCCTTGGTGAAGCCATGCTGGCTATTTCAGATCTCTTCCTCATCTTGCATATGCCTTAACATCTCCTCTGGAAAGACCTGCTCCATGACTTTCCCAGGCACAGACAAGATGCTCACCAGCCTGCAGTTCCCTAGGTCTTCCTTTCTCCTTTCTTAAAAACAGGAGTGATAGTTCCTTTTTTCCAATCACTGGGGACTTTGCCTAACAACCATGACTTTCCAAAAATGACAGGCTTGGCAACCACAAAGCCAATTCCTTTGGGATCCTGGGATGCATGTCACCCAGCCCCATAAACTTGTACACATTCAGCTTCATGAGGTTGTCTTGGACTTGCTCTGCTCTTATTGTTGGAAGGATTTTGCTCTCCTGAGCCCCACCTAAAGGTTCAGGGATATGAGAGGCATGAGAAGCCTGACTGCCAGTGAAGATTGAGGCAAAGAACTCACTGAGTACCTTAGTCTTCTCTATATCTATTGGAGTCAGTTCTTCATTTTCATCTGTCAGAGGGGAGTACACTCCCTGGTCTGTCACTTCTGACCAGTTTACCTGTAGAATCTCTTTTTGTTGTTTTTCACATCCTTTACCTAGCTCAGTTCCATGTGTGCTTTCCTGATCTCATCTCTGCCGGCATGGATTGCATCTTTGTATCCTCTATGATGACTCTATGGCCACTCCGTGATTCTGTGACAACCCTATGACAAATCTATGACACCTCTATGATGACTCTGACTACTATATTACTCTCTGAGGTCTACATGATGACTTTATGATATATTTGTGATGACTAGGACAACTCCAGGATGCCTCTGTGAGGACATTATGTTCATAATATAAGACTCTAGGATGACTCTGTGATGACCCTCAGGCTCTCTAACAACCTCATGCCAGCTCTAGGTCTCTGAGGTTTCTGTGACAACTCTATGACCCTAACACTAACATTAGCTCTAATGGCATTCACCCTAACCACTAAACCTAACTCCTAGTGTTAAACCTAAAACAAATCCAAACCTTAATGATAACCCTAGCCAGCTTCCCTATTCCTAATTCTATGCTGGGTCATTTTAAATGTTCCCACGCTGTCTGAAACCGTTCAAATCTGCCCACACTGCGCATGTCCGACGGCGTGGCCGCGTCCGAGCTCGCTGCCGAAAAAGTCCCCTGCGCACACCGTCACTGAACTACTGCGCATGCTCCTCAGGCCGCTATTGCGCATGTCCGCCGGGGGAGCCATGCAGTCCACATTGGCGCTATTGCGCATGCTCACAAAGGTATCACTGTCGAAGTCGACGGGTCAGCGCTACTGCGCTTGCGCGCTGCCAGCTGCCGCAGTACTGACATTGGCCTGTGGGTGGCAGCAGAGGGCCGGGCGGCGGCACGGTCTGTGAGCCTTTAGGCCGCCTCTGTCCCAGAGGAAGCTGCGGCTTCATTCACTGCATGGGGGAGCGCGTTGTGAGCTGCGGGCGGAGAAGGGGGAAGAAAGAAAAAAGGAGTAACGCAGTGGACATGGATAGGGGCAGACAGCAGGCGAGGAAGGGAACAGGACAGAGAGAGGAGCAAAGGGGAGGGCAGCAGTGCAGGAGAAACAAATGTGGTGGCAGCAAGGCAGAGATCGAGATGGGAAAAATCTAGAGGAAGGATAAGGGTAAGGGGCAACTGCATCCATAGAAACAGAACCAGAGAAAGAAAGGCTGCAAAGATGGAGAGAGGAGGGAGAGGACGTGAGATGGAGGGGTGGTGGGACACAAAGGGACAGGAAGGAAAGCAGAGAGAAGAGACAAGGCAGGAAGCAAGACAGATCTGACAGAAAAGTGTTGGACTTAGACAAGAAAGACGTGGAGACAGGAAGCAGCACAGAGTGAGGGAGAAGGATGAAATATAATGGACTGCAAGGCAAAAAGAAAATGAATGGCAGGGCCACAGAAAGATTCCCTGCTAGGGGGCAGTGAATACAACAGAGGGACTGCAAGGAAAGGTGAAGAGCAAGAAAACACAATGAAGAGAATAATGGCGAGGGATGCAAGAGTAGGGAAAAGCAGAGGGAGAAGAAGTAGGAAAGAATGCTAGGAAGAGAATGAGAGGTATGGGGGGAAGAAAGCTTGGGAAAGAAATTAGTGACAGGCAGCAGAACTGAGGGATGGAAAAGCAAAAGGTGCTGAGAAGACCAGGACAGAGCAGGAGAATAACAGAGTAACACAGGGACAGAAAAGGAGGGCACAGAGCAGAGAGAAGGCAGAGAGAGGGGCAGGACTGGGAGTGAGAAACAGCAAAAAGAGACAAGAGGCACTGAGGGACAGACAGGGTGAGCCATCTGTCTGTCATGGGGAATAGAAAAGGAGTGAGGAAAGGGCTGAGGGACAGCAAGAAGCAGAAAGAAGGACAGGGAGCATGACGAGGAGAATAAAAAATCATGGGGTGGAGAGCAGGGATGGAGGGTGAGACAGGAACAGAGAGCAGGGCCTTGCTGTAGGAAAATACACAGATGGGCAGCTGGACGGAGAGAAAATGAGATGAACAGGAAACAAGGCAATGGGGTGCAGAAAGAGTAAAAGGAGACATAGGGAGCAGAATAGATATACTGAGAGAAACGTGGGAAGAAGGGCAGACTGACTGACACAGAAACCCAGGAGCAAAGGAGCAGGACAGTCTGACTGAGGGGGAAAAAAAGAGAGGAAGTTAAAAAGGGAATGGGGACAGAGCAGAGGGATAGAGAGAGAAGCAGGAGGTGAGGGAGAGAAGGGAGGGAGCAGGGGTAGAGAATGTTTGGGTGGTGGAAGGAAGGGACAGAGCAGGGCACCAGCATTGGGGGGAGGGTGTGAGGTACAGGAGAGGGATGCAGATCAGGACAAAACAAAGAGGGAAAGGGATAAAATGGAGATGGGCTGCAAGTCACAGACTGAGGAAGAGCAAAAAGAAACAGGATAGAAGCACTGAGGGGAAAAAGAGACAGACAGCTGGATGTAGCCAGAAGTGAGGAAAAGGTCAGCAGGACAGAGAAGACCGAAAAAATAGAGAGCAGAAGCAAGATGTGGGGACAGGCAGAGAAAAAGAGGGAAGTTAAATAGCTAAGACAGAGAAAGAAGCATTAGGAGCAGAGAGAGAAAGAAATACACTAAGAAAGGCAAGGAGGATAGAGATGAGCAGAGAAACACAGGGAGCAGGACACCAAGAGAGCAGGGATGGGGTGTAGTACACTGATAGACAGAGAAGTATTAGGGACAGTGAAATTAAGGAAAGAGAAGAGAAAGCAGGGCTGAGAATCAGAGAGAGAAAGAGGAAAAGAAGTAATTGAGGCAGAACAGAGGAGTGTAGAGCCTTACAGATCCCCCAGAACCCCAGTGAGCCCCCAGTACCTCCCGGAGGTGCAGTGTCCCCCCGTATATCTCTGTGACCATTACAGAGCCCCACAGTACTCCTCAGAGCCCTCCAGCACGCTCCAGAGCCCTAACAACAAAGGTACAGCCCCTTTACAGCAGGCTGGCACGCTGAGCGGAGGAGGTCCTGCAGAGCAGCACAGGAGATGACTCCAAAATGGGGCTCCTGCACAGGACTCCATGGCACCTTGCCTCCTTGCACACACCTGGACCAGGTACTTCATGGACCTGCTGCCATGAGAGCCTGCAGCCACAGCAGGGCTTGAGCTCTCCAGCATGAGCTCTCCAGCACCACCAGCCACGCTCCTGAGGCCCCAGCACCTCACTTCTGACCCCATCTGCAGCTGACAGAGCTCAGCAGGATGGGCACCGACCTGTACCACATCCCAGAGCCAGGGATATGGGGCTGCTGTCACTGTGTGCTGCACGGGTGCCTGCTTAGCCTTCCCTGATAGTGATGGCATCATTTCTCTGCAGAAGCCCACGGGTGTCTGTGTGACGATAGAGTTCAGGCCCCTCCCAGCAGGCATTTTCCAGCTTCAAGTCCTCTAATTTATCTCTGCATTGTGTTGCTTCATGGCGCGGCAGCTGTGGGAGGAGGAAAGGGTGAGGAGCAGTGAGGTGAGCATGTACAGCACAGTGGGTCTGGAGGAGGGCTGCAGGGGGCATGTGGGCCTGGGCCCTTCCTTCCCACCCTGTGGAGCAGGGGCCTGGGGGCCCCATCCTTCCCTGCCCTGCAGCTGCACACAGCACTCCATAGTGCAGTGGGTTGGGGGAAGCATTGCACAGCTCTGCTCACTGTGTCCTGAGGTACACCCAGGGCAGGGGCAGCCCAGGGCAAGAGTAATAGAATTGCTTGAGTTAGAAGGGACACTTACAGGTGATCTAATTCAACTTCCTTGCACTGGACAGGGACACTTACAATTCAATCAGATTTCTCAGAGCCCCATCCAGTCTGATTTTGAGTGTTTCCAGGGATACAGCACCCACCCCATCTCTGGGCAGCATGTAAAAAAATTCTTCCTTCTATCCAGTCTAAATCTCCCCTCTTTTGGTTTGAAACCATTTCCCTTGTCCTATCACAGCACATCCTGCTAAAGAGTCTGTCTCCTTCTTTATTAAAGCTCCCTTTTAGATACGGAAAGGACATTCTCATGTCTTCCCAGAGTTTTCTCCAAGTTGAACAGCCCCAACTCTCAGCCTGTCCTCATATGGGGGTGTTCCATCCCTTGGATCATTTCTATGGCTCTGCTCTGGACACACTCCAACAGGTCCATGTCTTTCTTGTACTGAGGACTTCACATCTGGATGCACTCCTCCAGGTGATGGACTCTCCTCCAATGCAGAGCAGAGAGGCAGGATTACCCCTTCACCCTGCTGGCCATGTTACTTTGGATGCAGCTCAGGATATGGTTGGCTTTCTTGTCTCTGTGGACACACTGCTGTTTGCCATGTCCAGCTGGCCACCCACCAGTACCCCAGGTTCCTTTCAGGAGGGCTGTCTTCAATCCTTTCCCCCCCCCCCCCCCAGTTTGTACTAATAGCGTGGGTTGCCCTGACACTGGACCCACAGAAGGAGCTGGGGAGAGGCACAGGGCAGCCACACAGTGGGGAACAGAAACACATCCAAGATACCCAAAGTGCCCCCACCCAAACAGAGGGGCTGGGGAGCAGCTGGGCAGCCCTGATGTCATCCTGCTGCTGCTTTTCTCCAAGGGCCCTGTGGAGCTTGTGCCTCCCTGAAAGCCAGGCAGACATTGCCTGCTGGGCCAGGCTCAGGGCTGAGGGGAGCTGCTGGGGGCTCCAACTGCTGCTCAGGGTCCCTGGGTGCCCCTGGTACCCACCTGGGCTGGGGGCCCTGAGGTGGGCTCTGTGTTTATTGCATGTCTGTGGCTGGAGGACACCAGAAACAATTCATGGGTGGTGTAGTGTTGGCTGTTGCACACCTACAGGGCTTCGTGCTGTGTGTGATTGAGGTGCATGCAGCTGTGCCCACTGTCAGTGCCAAGAGGCATGAGCTCGCTGTTGGATTTAGTAGAATCACATCGAGTTATAGAATCGTTACGGTTGGAAAACACCCCCAAGATCACCAAACCCAACCACCAGCCCATCCCCACAGTGCCGTTAAGCCGTGTCCCCAAGTGCCACATCTCCACGTCGTGTGCGCCGCGGGGCGGGCGCTGTGTGCTCGGTGCGGGGTGCCCACAAATGCCGGCGCTGCACGGTGGAGCGTGTGAGCGTGTGCCGGGGTGCGTGCATCCATAAAGGTGTGCGGCGGGGCCGGGGCGGAGCGGGAAGCGGGGCAGCGGAGCGGAGCGGAGGCGGCAGCGGAGCGTGGCAGGTAGGATCCTGCCGGCGGGAACGGGGCTCCCGAATTCCCGGGTGCCGCCGGTGCGAGCAGCCCGTCCGGGCCAAGCGACCGGGAGCGGGATGGGCGGCGAGGGGAGGGAGCGGCTCCCGGTGCAGACCCGCAGCCCCAGACCCGACCGTGCCCACTGCAGGAGCCCCGGGGAGAACCCGGCTGCCCGCCCCGGCTCGGTGCCTGCCGGATGCTTTGGAGCGGCTGCGGTTCCCAGGCTGAGCACCGAGTTTGTCCCCCGGCAGAACAAACGAGGTACCTGCACAGATGGGGAAACGGAGGCACTCTTTGCTGGGAACAGCAGTGACAGCAGCAGAATGAGCAGCCCATTGAAAAAAGAGAGCTCGAACCGCCTGCTCCTCCTCTCCTCCGTTTGCTCCCGTCTGTCCAGAACACGAAGGGAGGGTCCGCAGCCCCCATCCCATCACCTCCCCCGTCTCCTTCCGCTCTCCTTGCCGTTCCCTCGCTGCAGGATCTGGCCGTGCCCTCCGGAGTCCCCGCCGGAACGCGCTGCCGCCCCACCGACGGTCAGTGCCGGTCCTGAAGCTGCCCGCAGCCCTGAGCCCTGCCCGTCCTGTGTCTCCTGGTTTGCCGTTCCAGCTTTGCCACCGATTCAGGTCTCATCCATCCCTGGCAAATTTACCTCTCCCTGTCACAGCACCTTTGCCCCTGCCAGCCCTGAGCAGCAGGTGTGGAAGAGGAACCCCATTGCCCATAGTCTCCTTATTCTTTCTGTTCACGGTATCTGTCCTTCTCACATTCTCTGATAGCAAAGACTGTTCGGAACCAAATGAAACTCAAGAGCATTGCCATAAACCCATTCACAAAATGGTAGGGTGTCAAACGGTTGCAAAATGCTTCCAAGGGACATTAGAGCAGACCCTCGGGTTCCTGCTGGCTGCCTGGGAAGATGATGAACTGGGACTGGGAGTATCCCACTGCACCAGAGGTGCTCTGAGTCACTCCTTGAGGCTGTGTACTGCTTACACACACATACCTTGGAAGGGGTAGTGCTGCTGTCACTCTGTGCTGTTGCTATTGCTGTCCTGCCTCTGCAGGCAGGACTGCACACAGAGGGGGGCTTCAGAACTAGCGGAGAAGACGTAGATATTCATTTCTCTTCTCCATCAGTGAGTGCTCTGATAGCTACTAAGCCACCACTTTACGTTCCCAGCTCCCCTAGGGAAAGGGAAACAAAGCACTGCTGGGCTTTATACAGACAGGTCATGAATTGTGGGCAACCAGGTAGAACCCTGAAGCTGTGGGAAAGACACACAGCCAGGCACTTAGCAGCCTGCCACCACCTCCTGCTAGTCACCATGCTCCTGGTCACCCACCGTCCCTGCTAAGAGCATTCCAAGCTCCCTGAATTCCTTTTCCAATAGGATCAAGAATTATGCTCGTAGCTGAGTGATAAATTGTAACAGAAGTAGCTCCCTGACTGTCAGAACCAATTTTTGCCAAGTGAAGCATGAACTTCTCACATGCACATCAAGGGAAGTCAGATGCAGACTGTAACCAGGCTCTGTGACATGCCAGCACTCTGAAGTGATCCCACAGCAGATAACAGCAGTGAGGAGATGTTTGCAAGGTTACCTTATTTGATTTGCAGAGAGGCATGGAGGTATTCCCTGTCTTTTTGTTCTCTTTAGATCGGCCTTTGAAGAGGGCTGACTGTGACTTATCTGCCCTGCAAGAGAGAGAGAGCAAAGGAAGAGCATCTGGTGATGAGCAGGATGGTGGGGAGGGGACAGCAGTCACCCTACCAGGCAGCACAGGCACAGTCTGTGTAGATGTTAATACGAAGCTGGTTTCTGGCTTTCTCAGACTATGGAAGGACTTCAGGGTATGCAAGGGTATAGCACTGAGCCTAAGCCAGTGCAGTCAAGTAGCAGTAGGAATACAACACCCATAACAGCCTGAGCACATTCCACTGCACACAGGGAAGCTCTCTGGTCCCGAGGGTGTTAGGTAACAACAGCCCTGGTCCCTCAGCCAGATACTGGGACCAGACTCCCTGGTGGGTCTGGGTGAGCTCCCCTGCTTCCCATACATTCATACAGTGTGGGGTGTTCAGTTCCGGTGTGGCTGTAGGGTGGACTTTTGGCTATACTGAGAACTGACACTGCCATTTTAATTGGTGGTGTTCACACACCAATGCAGAGCTGAGATCACATCTACCATCTACCAAAGATAAATAGCTTGCACCTCAGTGCTGGTCAGCCCACTTTTCTGGAGGATTCAGTTAATCCCTCTGCCATACAGGCAGCATAAATAGGCCATTCCACATCTACGAACCTCAAGGTTTCTGTGAAGGAGAAGAGGCTCAGCCAGAGATCAAGTTTCTGTGCTGCACCCGACACAAAGCAAATTCACATTCAGCCTTGAGGACCCCTCTGCTTCAGGACTGGTAAGTGTCCAAGGGAGAAATGTGCATGTCTACAAATGAAGGGCAGTGACCTGGTCTCCAGAGAGTAGTGATAGCTTCCTTCCCTGATGTCGGAGAGGCTGTCACTCTAGGAGGAGCATTTGACTCCTAGCAGCTGCTGGGAAGTCCACAGGACGCCAAGGACTGCATCCTGCTTTGTAGCCTTTACGTGCCTTTAACACTTTCTTTATTGCAGCAGTGGCTGTGTTGAACAGGGCTTGCAGTGACTCCAAGCAGTGACATCCCCAAATCTGCACCGATACCTGGAGCACCTGCAGACCCACAGTCACATGCCTCTTGCAGCACTTCTGCTTCAGTCACTCGCACTGCCTGTGCTCCCAGGCCAATTCCCAAACCTGAATCAGAATGCACAAGCTAGAGCTTGATTAATTGCAGAGATTCCATGATCTCCATACTTGTGGTAAGCCAGTCTTGGACCACACAGTAGTAACAGTACACCCGTACAAACACTGCAGAGGGAAAAGGACTCCAGTCCTCCAGTTTATTCAAGGGAAACTATGCCTTTGAACATAGATAGATTGATATAAAATATATTCTTCCAGCTCCAGAACGAAAAAAACATGCTGTGCCTGTGATGGAAAACTAGAGTTTTGCCATGCAACCTCATCTTCAGCTTGCAATCCAAATGCTTGTTTTGATGGCAGGGGACTGATGCAGAAAGCTCAGTTCTAGGGGAGAGCTGCCCTGTGAGGCAGAGAGAAGGAATATGTTTCTGGATCACTGAAAGCAAAGCATCAGAGTTGCCCTCCCCGAAAAACTCATCACTTGAGCACAACATGGAACTGGGTAGTAGCTGTCACTGCCAAAAGCGTTTCCAGCCTGTATCTAGTGTGTGATGCTTGTTCTAGGAGCAGGTACTGAAAGGACTGAAACAGAAACTATGAAACTGTATGTCGGTATTGGTGGAGCAAACACCTCAGATTGTCCAGCTGGTTGGTTTGAGGTTGAAGCCCCACTGCTGGGAACAAACCTCACACCCCTCCTTCCATCAGCTGGACCAGCTGGGAGGTGAAAATTCTGTCTCCCTTCTCCCACACTAGTGGAGGCTGTGCTACCCATGGGGACAGATGCTATCCACTCCCCCAGGTCTCACTTCCAGCATCATCGGTCCAAGGTGACATCTGAGCCTGGGGTATGGATTCCTTCCAGGGCCAGAATGGGGCAGCACAGAACCCTTTACTCCCACCTTACCCACACCTATCCTACAGGGCAGCAGTGACCAGAAGAACCTGCTGAAATGCATGTGTGTCTCAGAGCTGAGAGCGGAGCTGTCTGTGTCCTGCCAGCCAACAGATCCATCAGCCAACCTAACAGGCCAAGAAGCACTTCTCCAGTCTCTCACCTCTCTCCCTGTGTTGCCACAGGCTCCAGCACCTCACCACAGCACAGAACGATGGAGCACGAGGACTTCACCAGCTTGGCTGGGTACTGGAATTCCTCTGACAGTTACCAGTTCAGCCCTGCTAGTGTCATTGTCCCTGTGGTCTTCTCCCTCATCTTCCTCCTGGGCACAGTTGGCAACAGCCTGGTGCTGGCAGTGCTGCTGCGCAATAGGCAAATGGGCCACAACACTACCAACCTCTTCATCCTCAACCTCAGCCTGGCTGACTTCTTCTTCATTGTCTTCTGCGTGCCTTTCCAGGCCACCATCTACTCCCTTGAGGGCTGGGTCTTCGGCTCCTTCATCTGCAAGGCTGTCCACTTTTTCATCTACCTCACCATGTACGCCAGCAGCTTCACACTGGCTGCCGTCTCTGTGGACAGGTAACGGCCTGACGATGCGCTGGGGCTGGGGAAGGAGGACAGTCAGGAGACGCTGGGTAGAGTGAGAGCGTGGGAAGGTCATGGCCTATCACCTTTGGGCGAGTCACTCAAACCACAGTGGCAATGGTCTGTCCCAAAGGCAGTCTGGGGACTGGGTTTCCCATCCTCTAACAACCCCAAGCAGCACTTCCAGCTCTCCTGAGTGCAGAGCCAGTGCTGCTCCTGTCTGTGCTTCCCAGACAGGTTAGGGCGCTTGAGAAACTCAGCTCCACCCTCTGCCAGAAACACCCACTGCTCATCACCTAGCTCCAGATCAGAGGTGACGCTGTGAGGTAATGTCTATCCCCAAGCCACTACTGCAGAAAAGTTTCATGTGGGGACAGCAAGGTGAACCGAGGGCATGGTGGGGGATGCCACATAAATGCACAAGAGGGATCACTCATTCTCCTGCAGCTGCCAGCCCAGCACAAAACCTGTCACCTAACAGTTCTTGCTGCCTCACCTTTCCCAGCCCTTCTGGGAAAAGTGTTCCACAGCACCTATGCAGGAGGGCAGCCATGCCATGAGGCATGTTTCTTCCTGGAAAACTACCTAGGCTGCTCTGGCCTTATTGATGGCATCTAAATTGTTCCCAAGGACACTGCCTAGTTCTCCCTCAGGGTGACTGCTGTCAGCTGCCCCACTACTGACTGAGTCCGCGCTGGTGGTGTGGGATGCGGAGGAGCTCCATGCTGGGGTAAGACTCAGCCTCACTTGCCATACACAGTATGTGCCCTGGCCCATCTTGCTCTTTGTGCTTGCTTCCAAGGGTACTAAGACAGGACAGGGTCAAACAGCCCTCTGCAATAAAGAGGATCACAAGGCTGCAGGCAGAAGAACACTTCAGCACCTGTGCTCCCAGGTCTCAATAATAGGGAACCTCTGGGATGGATGAAGTCCCAGTGAGCAGCGTGGTCGGTCTATTCCTCCAGTCTCCTTCCACTTCATCCTGTTCTCGGGTGATGCTTGCAGGGCCCTGGTATCAGGCAGTTGTTCCACTCCAAGAGGCTAGCATCCCAGATGGGGTGATGGTGCAGGATTCCCAACAAAAACATCGCACTCCTCTGGTTTCTAGTGCTTATGTACTCTAGCTGTTGTCACAAGAAATCTGAGATTTCTCATGCTCCACCTTGTCTACACATTCTCTGTGCTGGGCACCCCTCAGCCAAGGCCTGTGAACCTCCTGACCAACACCAGCCAGCAGCTCAGGCCAGCACTGACAACCATGACAGATGGACAACTCTTACGGCAGCATTTCAGCCTCCTGCTTTCCTGTACCTACATCACCTGTCTGTAGTCTGCTGCTCCCGCCTGCTCAGAACTGGGGCGCAATCTCAAAAACACCCGCCCAAAAGACGTGTTGGCAGGGCATTTGTGCATGTGTCCTTTCCCTTTCTGGTGGCACTTTTGTGCTGTTGTGCAGCATCTGCATTTCAGCATAACGTTGCATGACTCCTACACAGCTGCTTGGAGCTTTCAGGATGAAAGGACCAGCAAGCAACAAGAGTTTTGGCACATGTGTGACCCTTTTGACCAACTGCCTGTTTTATTCAACCTGCTCTGCTGGCCTGACAGTGCATCACATGGATGTCCTTCCCTGGGTGCTGGCAGGTGGAGACTGCAGTGGTTGTGCTCCTGTTTGTGCTGACAACACTTCTCTGTCCCTTACCCATCAGCACCAAGCCACCTTCTTTCTAACATCTACTTTGCAGGAGTGCAAAGCAAACATGGGAAAAGAGATTCCCATTTGCTGCTTGTTCCCTCTCCTACCTAATGTGTGCAACAGCATAGACCACCCCAAAGGCAGTTCTGCCAGCTTTGTCCTGCAGTGTTGCCTGGAGGTGGATAAGCAAAGCTGGCCGTCACACTGGCCACTGCTGATGGAAGAGACAGGTTCCCAAAGACTGCCTGGCCCTTTTGGTACTCAGGTGGAGGCAGACAACCTTAGCTAGAGGGAGCCAATCTTTCCCTTACCAGTCGAATCTGTGAAAGCCAGAGAGGGCTGAAAATGGGCCCTGACTGGGCAGGAGCCAGCACTGCATCCATCACCAAGTGAAGCTTCCTCTGATCTTGGAACTACTAGACAAATTCCACCAAGCAGTGAATATCTGTATGGTCTCCACAGCCCTATTTCTTTCTAGATCAAGCATATAACCCACCCCATCATATGCAGATGAGTCAGCCAGCCCACACCTATGAGAGGAGACACATCCTTACTACAAAGAGAACAGCTGTTTTACGCAGGACCATATTTCTAAGGGGCCATGAGATACCATGTAGGGCCACCCAGGGATCTTCAGGAGAATGAAGGAAGCCCTCTTGTTCCTGGTGTTTGTGTGGCCAGGCTTGGCTGAAATCTTAGCTCCAGTTGCTTTGCTCTCTCCTGCAGGTACCTGGCCATCCGCTATCCGCTGCGCTCCCGGGAGCTGCGAACCCCCTACAACGCGGTGGCTGCCATGGCTGTGATCTGGGGTCTCTCTGTGGTCTTTGCTGGGCCCTACCTGAGCTACTATGACCTGATTGAGTGGGAGTCCAGCTATATCTGCATGCCTGGCTGGGAGGAGTGGAGACGCAAGGTCATGGACACCAGCACGTTTGCCTTTGGCTATGTCATCCCAGTTCTGGTCATCAGCCTCTCCTACACCAGGACCATCAAGTACCTGTGGACAGCAGTGGAACCCTTGGAGGACATGTCAGAGTCCAAGAAGGCCAAGCGGAAGGTAACTAAAATGATCATCATCGTAACCATCCTTTTTTGCCTGTGCTGGCTACCCTACCACGTAGTCATCCTCCGATACCTCTATGGAGATTTCCCTTTCAACCAGGCCACCTATGCCTTCCGTCTGCTTTCCCACTGCATGGCCTATGCCAACTCCTGCCTCAACCCCATCGTCTATGCCCTGGTATCCAAGCATTTCCGTAAGGGCTTCAAAAAAGTCTTCAGCTGTCTCCTGAGGAAAAAGCACCGCAACAAGGTGCATGTGTTACACGCTGCTCACATTGTGCCTGGCTTTGAGGCAGGCTCCACTGAAGTGTCTCAGGTGCATGAAGAAAATAACAGGTGTGAGCTGAACCCAGACTCCCTGGCAGTCCCCTCTGGTTCTTCCAAGCATCTTCACCTTTCTTAGTAGCTCCACACCATCTACCAGCCCAGCTGTGCCATCTGCCTCAGGTCACTCTCTCCCATTGAATGAGACAGGATGCTAGGAAAGGCAAGACAGAAACCTTGCTATATCCCGGTTCTAGCCTTGCTGTTCCTCTTCTTTCTGGGTACCAATTGTCCTCCTAAGCCACCTCCCCACATCTTGTGTACAAAGGAAGGAATGGACCCACACTTGCTCCTGATCCACAGCCCACCTGCAGTTCAAGGACTAATGCTCCAGCTCTTCTGTTGACTCTCATCCTTCTAAGTCCTCTGCTTAGCAGCCCCACTACATTGGACACATTTGTTTGCTGTCAGATGGTCCCTTCTTGCTTCCTGTTGTCTGATCTGGACAAAGTGTTTCTTATGGAGTGGCAAGGGAGACAGGCAGCGTGAGCAGGGCCAGGTGAACAAAGGAGGGACAGAGAGCAACCAGCATTGCCTGTGGATGGTTACAGTGGTGGCTTCTGTACTGGCTGCACTGCTCTCCTGGTGACCAAGTCCTTTCCTGTGGTGTGGGCTGTGGGTTGTCTGTATGTGTGCGATGTTGCTGCTGTAAATACTAGGGAGATGTTTTTCTGACCCAGAGTAAATAAATGTACTTCCCTAATCCAGGCAATAGAGGGGCTTCTGATGGTGAACTGGGATTGAAATGGACTACCTACACTTCACTGTGGCCTTTTTCTTAACTGGTATAAATCAGTGTACTACAAAAATTACTATCCAGCAATTTCTACTGAGCCAAACCCTGCCTCGCATCCCCGCTCCCACACCACAGCCGTGCTTACTGACAAGATCACTGAGCCTCTCCGTTCATCCTCAGACCAGGCCCAGGCAGGAGGAGGTTCAGAGGAAGAGTTTCTGGATGGGGTTGGTCCAGGGTTTGCCAAGAGGTCACCATCATCACCTTGCTGCATCAACATATGGTCCTATGGTCACATGCTCTCCCTCGCCTCAAGCCATCAAACTCCTGCCTAGGAAACCACACATGCAAAGAGTCACTGCCCAGAGATGTACAGGCTTTCCCTTACCCTGCCTGCACATCTCTTCATGTCAGATCAATCACTCCGCAACACAGATGTTATTTTTCTCAGAAGATAACTGAGCTCCATCAGTCACAGCTCAGAATCTACAACATATAAAAGCAGCTTTGCCCATCCATTGCTCTCTGGCTGCCCTGTGGGCAGTCAAGCAGCCAGTGGTCAGAGTGAGCTGGGTAGTTCAGTTATGGTTTGCCCCGCCTGCGTAGCTGAGTCTTTGCAAAAGGGATGCTCTCTCTCCACAGTGCAGCAGATGGTTGTCTTCAGGGCATGCTGAGTGCCAAACATGCAATCCTGTAGCTTCAGGGAAGAAAACTCTCATCTCCTTTTCTGAGGCTGATTAGATGTTAGTAGATGCCTTTCTGCTGTTACTAAATTACTGGAGATGGAGAAATCCTCTCCAGCTGACTGAGTTTGATCTGAAAAACAGGTCTGAGAAAACCTGCAAACACAACAGACCCCACACCAGAGACTTGCACCCAAGACTGAGGATAATTTACCATTACCTCCTTGCTGTGTTCAGTGCAGTCCAGCCAACTCTCCCCATTAACTCAGAGGCTCTCTTGCCTTTTCAACAAGTGATTGCAGTCCTATAGAGCTGGACAAACACAGGAGCAATGTATACTTTCCTTCCAGTTCTAAGACTGGATCCTGTATGGATCAAAACATAACTGGACCTCCAAACCAGCTTGATGCATTCTCAGTCCCACTGGCAAAGCCCTGCTACTTGTCCAGCACTGCTACCAGTTCCACTGCAGGTCATCTTGAAAACCCCAGGTATGGCCCCTCACCACATGTGCACAGCATGCAGAACCCAGTGCAGAGGTAGTGGTTCCTGTCCCAAAGACTCTACACTCCAACCAGAGCTGGGCAGCAAGAATTCAAGGGGAGACTCTCTGCAGAGCTGCAGTTGCTGGCTTGCTAAGAAGTGCTTCCAGGGCAGCAGCTTGCCCAGCAGATGCTGAGCACTTCCATTAGTGAAGCACTTCTCTGATGACTCCTCATCCTGATTCTTAAGGAAGCTTCTTAGATACAGAGTCTGGACTCCTACACCCAATTGCCTTATTTTGTCCTCTCTAAAGAACATACTATTCTCCAATCCTTCCCACTTCTCTACCACCAGGGCAACTTCTCTTCATTCACAAGAGTTGGACTTAACAAGCTGGAGAACAATTTCCAGCCTGTTTGAAACCAATACATGACTCTCCAGGTTTACTCTTGGCAGCAGTAGTAAATTCAGCTAATGGTGATTGCCATAAACAAACTGCTTTATGGTTTGGTTTCTGCCATGGAAAGAACCCCCTGGTGCCTGTGTTAGGCAGCTGAAACAAATGGCAGAGAGCTCTCTGCAGCCCAGAAATACACAGACAGCTCTCATAAAACAACAGAACAGTAGATACTCCAAAGTTTATAGTTCCCACCTCTGGCAGTGATGCATCCCTGGTGCATGAACAGAACCAGACAGCTCAAGAACAAACCAGGCAGAGGAAACCCTTGGCTCAGGGAGAAGGAATCATCCAGCCTGGTTCTTGACTCCCGCTGTGCCCTTGCCAACAACACAGGAAACACTTTTTTCTTTATTCTTTTATTCATTTTCATTTTCAGCAACTCTGTCCTTCTGGTCTGACCAACTGTAAAGGTCTTTTTGTCTGGAGATGATTTTTCTTTGAGGCTCCAGATAGGCTTTTTACATGATATCACCTATGGTGCCTGCACCACAGATAACCAGTGTAACTCATGCAGAGTGCACCCTCTCCTTTGGCTGATGACCAAGGACTGCTGTTTCTAGCTTGGGTCATGAATAGATATGAGTTTTTCAGAATACAGCTCCAAGGTGGACCCTCTGCATCCCATCCTTCGTTAGTATTGCTGAAGTCCCTCTGCTCAGTTCTGCAGCTAACTGCACAGCCTCCAGCTGCCCCATCCCAACAGGAAGCACTTTCTTTGCCTCACCTTCATCAATAAGGAATTCAGGGTCGATTTTCTTCTGCTTGAATCAGATTGATAGCAAAGATCTTTAGCAACATTACTGCTAGGGCTTTCTCACCAGCAGCCTTTTCCTGGGCAAAAATAATTGTCTGTGCAGAAGCCACCAGACAAGAACTAATCAAGCTGTGGCACATCTATCATTGCTCATTAGTCCTGTTGGAAAGCTCCTGGCATGCTCAAACCAGCAGGAATCTAAATCTAAAGCAACTGTGTTGTTTATGTTTTTGTTTTGTTTTTCCACCAAAAGAAGCACAAAGATTTTAACAGTATTAAGTTTCCCCACCAAATTTACATGGTTTGTTTTGCAGAAGATAGATACTTTCCTGCCTCCCCTAAACAAAAGCTAGCAGAAATCCTTCACTCCCCATGCAGCTCAGCTACAGAGTGACATGGGAAAGAGTCTTTGTTCCAAGGAGAAAACCCAGATCCAGAAATGCATTAGCAGATGCCACTAGCTGTGTTATCCATCACATAAAAAACTCTGCTGCCAGATGCAGCTGTGAGAAAGAGCCACAGGCAGGGGTTTCAAAAGCTCAGTGTACCTAGGCTGGGTACCTCCAGCACTGCTGGTAAGCTCCTGCTCAGTCCCAAGATCTCAGGAAGGCAAAGGCAGCACCTTCCCATCTAACATGATTTCCTGACACAGGTAGTCAGAGAACTGACTAGGGAAAGTGCCTGTTGTTTGTTAAGAGGGAGATGTTGTGGGTGATGTGATGGTTGGAGGCACAGTGATGATGGAGTTCTCCATCCTTGGGGGTGGCAAGGAGGACAGTTGGTAGAACTGTCCTACTTTAGACTTTGGGGAGGACAGATTTTGGCCTGTTTAGAGACCTGGTTGGCAGAAACCTTTGTGAGGAAGTTCTAAAGGGCAAAGGAGTCCTAGAAGGATTTTTTTCAGTGATGAAATTCTGAAGGCACCAGACCAGGCTGCCCCTGTGCTGAAACATGAACTGACAAGGAAGAAGTCAAGTGAGGAAAAGGCTGAGGTACTGAATGCCTTCTTTACCTCAGTTACTATCGGTAAGACTGATTTTTCTTGGGGTACTCAACCCACTGAACTGGAAGACAAAGGCAAGGAACAGAATGAATTCCTTACAATCCAAGGGAAACAGTATTTAACAGCATACCACACCACTGGACACACAGATCTATGGGACCAGTTGGGATCCACCCAAGAGTGCTGAAGGAGCTGATGGAAGAGTAAAGCCACTTGTATATATATGGACTGGGAAGAGTAGCTGGAAAGTTACCTAGCAGAAAAGGACCTGGGGCTGTTGGTAGGCAGATGGCTGAAAAGTAGCCAGCACTGTGCCCAGGTAGCCAAGAAGGCCAACAGCATCCTGGGTTGTATCAGAAATAGCTTGGCCAGCAGGAGCAGGGAGGTGAGTAAGCAGAGTAAGTGGCTGTAGGCTGAAGTGACAGAGCCTGGTGGGCAGCACAGCACACAGAGCCTTGAAATCTCTTATTAAAGAGGGGTAGTTAAGACCTACTTCCCACACAAGCCAGCACAGGCCATCCCTTGGTGTTTGGTTTGGGGGGACAGAAGACCCAGTTTCCCACATCCTCTGTTCACACAGCTCTCAGGAAGCTCTGGACGTGTCAGAGAGAACTGTTCCACATCCCTTGGGTGCATGAGAAGCATAGATCTGCTGTCCTGCTAGCAGAAGTTGCACAAGCAAATTTGCCCAAACACTGAGATTTTCATCAGAGCTGAAAACCCACAGGTATTCTGTAGGTATCACCTATTGCTCCTTCTGCAAAGCCTCAGTGCTGGACAGACAGCTGTACCCCCAGAATGTCTGCCATTCCCCTATTCTTGCTATACCTTTCCTTCTTCATACACTCCTGGAAAAAAACCAGCTGCTTCTACTCTGTGCAGGGAAAGGTATGGTCAAATGAAGGATCTGTCTCAGCACAGAGAGGGGAATCTGGTGAACATACTACCATCAGGATTGCTGTCATAGCTTGCTGTTCACCTTTTTTTCTGCAGAATGGATGAATTCAAGCCCTATGTACTGAGAAATTGCAGTCAGGCAAGCCCTGTAATTAGCAGACTTGACTGCTAGCCATCAGGCACTTATGAACTCAGCAATTAGAAACAAATCAGACGAAGACCCAGAAGGAGGAATGGGTTGTTTCTTTTGCTGCATGTCTTACCTGGCTCTCTTACTGCATAGCTACCTGTGAGCATAAGAACTTGGGCAGTGTGAGCACTCCTTTGCAGCACAGCATTCCCAGGGTTTTCACTTCTGCTACGTCAAGCAAGGGCTGCAAGACCACAGACAGCTGGGAGCCCCTTGCAACCTGCTGCTTTGTGCCTGAGAAAAGTGTCCCCATAGTAACTCTCACATCTCTCTCCTGCCTCTGTTCCCAAACTAGTGGTGCTAGAAGACCAGTAATCTTAATTTACTGAGAAACAGCCTCACAGTTCTGCCAAAGCTCCTGAGCACAGCCCCTTCCACCCCCAGCCAGGGCTCCACAGCCAAGGACCACCTGTAATACCTGTGTTGCTCCTCCTGGCTGCACTGCCAAGCAAAGTACCCAGCCATCTTCCTCAGTCTGCTCTCAAACAATATCCACTGCAACTGTCAGCTTCCTCAGCAGTGGCATTTCTGGCTACTTGTTGCCCCCAGGGGCTTCCCCCCTATTCATATCCTGGCTGGGAACTGCCTAAGCGGGGCTGAGAGCCCTTCCCACTCACTGCTGCTCTCAGCTCCTCTTGAATCACAGAACAAAGCCAATATTCTAAGACAGGATTCACCTCCCTAAGAACTGGTTTTGGTCAGAATCCTAGTTCAGCTCCCTCTTGAAAAAGACATACAGAAAGGTGACCATATTAACATTTAGACAGAGATCAATGGTGGGTGCTAATGGTCTCCTGCTGCCCACCTTGCACACCCAGCTCAATTCATATTGTTTCTTGAACTGCAGTAACACAATCAGCA